TAATAATAACAAATAATATACAAATAAATCAATAACATAAAATGTTAATTTATTTACATAAATAATAAATAAAATATATAATATATAAAAATAAAATAATGTAAAATACCTATATATATTTAATAATATTAATATTACAACATTTTTAATAATTACATATATTAATAATATATAAATAATATAAATTTACAAAAATAATATATAAAATCTAAAATACAGTTTTATGTCAAGTACAAATAATTATATTTGCTAAAATGCTTGTGATGCTTTGGATAAAAGTGTCTGCTGAATAAATGAATATGATTATATATATATATATATATACACTTTCTCACATGCATCAGATGTGTCATACGCAATGGTCTGCCACTGAATGTGTCCTATATTGTTTTTATGTGACGAAGTTAAAAACAGTGAATTTGAAGTGAATCTCTGTGTGACCTGAGCGTTCCCTCAGCGCTGTCCTCCAGCTGAACTCGAACCCTGAGCGCAGCGACGTCCGCCAGCACCGTCATCAGCTCGTCTCTCTGAACGTGGCTCCTGCTGCGAGCGTCTCTGAGCGTGTGCGGCAGCATCAGGAGCGAGACGTGCTGCTCGGTGTGAGCGTTCAGCAGCAGACGAGCGGACCGAGCCTCACGCAGCATCCGCCCGTTTCCCTGAAACACACCAGATCCACACTCATGCCGCACATAAACAATTATATATCTAATAAACTCATCACTTGAGTCTCAGTACGTGAACAGCTCAAGCAGAAGTTCGTGATTAATCAATAATACGATTGTTCTAGCATTACATGAAAGCAGAATAATTATCATCTCACCTCAATAATTACGCTGAAATGAGCTTGAAGCGTGCGGTCCACGTTTTCCTCAGACGTGTCATAAGCAACGCTGTAGTTCAGGAAACTTCCATATGACGTCAGCTATAAGACAAATGATGACAGTATATTAACAATATGTGTCCCTGCAGCACAAAAGCAGTCTTAAGTCGCTGGGGGATATTTGTAGCAATAGCCAACAATACATTGTATGGGTCAAAATTATACATTTTTCTTTTTGCCAAATTTTTTGCCAAAAATCATTAGGATATTAAGTAAAGATCATGTTCCATGAAGATATTTTGTAAATTTCCTACATTAAAACTTAATTTTTGATTAGTAATATGCATTGCTAAGAACTTCATTTGAACAACTGTAAAGATTATTTTCTCAATATTTAGATTTTTTTGCACCCTCAGATTCCAGATTTTCAAATAGTTGTATCTCAGCCAAATATTGTCCTATCCTAACAAACCATACATCAATGGAAAGCTCATTTATTCAGCTTTCAGCTGATGCATAAATCTCAATTTCACAAAATTGACCCTTATGACTGGTTTTGTGCTCCAGGGTCACATTTATGACAATACTGTGTTAATGTGTTTAAACGGGTTCACAGATGATTGTAGGTCATTATATACTGTTTTAATTCAAGTCAAGTCGCATTTATTTCGATGGCGCTTTATGTGATACAGATCATTTCAAAGCAACTTCACAGAAACAAACCGGAAAATTATGTTAATGTTGTAATATTAATTAATTAATTATGAAATCAATTCGATTTCAGCTTTAAAGCAGCTCTAAAAAAGACAACAGTGTCATTATTTAGATGAAAAATATGTTACTGAATCAATCCGCCGTTTGAACGAATCGGTTGAGTGAATGATTCAATGACTCACTCGTGCAGTGATTCGCCGCGATTTTAGGTTCATATTTAAAGAATATGTTCCTTTTTTGTGCAAAACAATAAGTGCATTAAAAGTAATAAAAATAACATCCACAATGACTGTAATCTCAGGAACAGTTCTGATATCATCTTGAATCGAGAGATCTTTCACTGCAAGCTGATGGAAATGAATGTTATAATTACTTCTTTTAATGTGATTAATCACCCGGGGCAGAAGCTAGTTCTCTGTACATGTGCTAATGAGTCTGAGTGTAATGACAGACCGGAGGCTGTGAACAGAGATAGCAGTGAGGAGCGCTGCTGCTGATCACCTTGTTGTTGAGGAAAGACTCCGGCGCAGCCCACGACCACTCGGACCGGACTCCTGCGGACGCAGAGAGGTTAGAGACGATGAGGTTGTCGTCTGAGACGGGAGACGTGAAGATGCTGGAGCTCTGAAGAGGTCGGAGGAGAACGCCGTCTCTGTGCTCCACCTGAGAATCAACCACACAAACCGCATTCGTATTTGTTATAGGTTTTATTTTTATAGGTTCTCTTTTCACTTTAATTTTAGTTTAAGTTTTAGTAATTTTGTTGATGATTTTTATTAGCTTTTTTTTATGTCTATATAGTATTTATTACATTTTATGTCAGCTTTAATTATTTTAGTGTGTGTGTGTGTGTGTCAGTGAGTGAGTGTGTGTGTGTGACGTGACGTGTGACATGTGGCCAAGTATGGCGACCCATACTTGGAATTAGTGCTCTGCATTTACCCATCCAAACACACACACACACACTCACTCACTCACTCACTCACTCACTCACACACACACACACACACACACGCACACACACACCTGGTGTGGTCTGTAGTATCCGTCCGCACAGGTTTGGCAGTTCACTCCCGCTGTGTTCTGGGAGCAGTTCACACACACTCCTCCTCCCACAAACTGACCGAGTGTGTTCACGCTCAGCCGCAGATCTGCCACCGTCTGATTGTAGTAACAGTCCTCAGCCTTATTGTGACAGTTACATTCTGATCAACGAGACAGAAAACACAGAGATCAGCCGGTTAGAGATGAAAGTGTGCTTGTTTTTGTGGTTAAGTGAAAGATTTTTTTGCATCATGACTTTATTTTCAGTTACTGCAATGCAAAATGAATAATAAAATATACAACACATATTATTGTATTCAAATAAGATAAATATATTTATACATGAATAATAAAAGTATATTTTATCTTTATATTTAAATATGCAAATATAATATTTATTATATTTAATACATTAATTCATAAATTAATTTACTTTTTAATAATGTTCTGTAGTATTTGTTGTACTGAAGTCAATAATTTATATATATATATATATATATATATATATACATACACACACATTTTAAATAAAAGATACTTTTTTGTTTGTGTTGTTTTGAAGTCAGTGTTATTTTGTGTCTCACTCTCGCATGTGTTTCCATCGGAAAGCGTTCCAGGTTGCCACGGCTCCTGATGGTATCCAGGGCAACACTCATTACAGCTCTCGCCACAAGTGTTGTGCTCACACACACACTGCAGCTTCTGTGCAGACGAAAGAGAGGAGCGAGTGAGACACACACACACACACACACACACACACACACACCCCCACAGACACACACACACCCACACTGATGCATCCACTCACTCACACACACACACACACACACAATATCATACGTAGTGTTTATTTTAATCTACAGTATTGTATTTTATGTATATAAAATAAATATCACTTTATTCAAGTGATCAGCATTTTTACGACTGCAGGCACAATTATAGTGACTTCAGAGAGGCGGGGCTTAAGTTCACATTTGATTGACAGCTCGAGTTCCAATGGGATGGTGCTTGTTGTCAGTTACCTTGGTAACAGGGTCCCAGGGGCAGCTCTGGGCGTGGCCATAACAGATACACATCCCGCCCACCGAGATGTCCTTGATGGAGTAATAATACTGCAAACCAGAGCAGGACAGAGTTAGTCCGTCACTTCAGCTATTACTCTATTAATAAAAGAGTACCATGTCTTGAAGTACCTTTTAATAAAGCTATAAGCCCCAAGAAGCCTTGATGGAGTAATAATACTGCAAACCAGAGCAGGACAGAGTCAACTCTATTAACAAAAGAGTACCATGCCTTGAAGTACCTTTTAAAAATAATGTTGAATGTTGAATTAATCAAGAAATATCTAAAATTAATATTTAAAAAAAAAAATAGTAGTTTCAATAAATAAATAGCTTAGAATTTATAAATAATTTATATATACACATTTAAATATTTACAAATATTTTAAATTTATATAAATAATTTATTATTTATTTATATAAAAATGTAATATTTTAAATTAATATTTAAAATCTTTTAATTAAATCTCAAAATACCCTTTAAAAATAATGTTATATAAATATTTAACATGATTTTTTTTAAATATTTAAAATATTTAAAAAACCCGTTATATGAGAATTACTGTAGCTCAAACAGTAGAACATGGCTCTTAAACAGCAAGGTCATGGGTTCGATTCCCAGGAAATGCATGAACTGATAATATGTACATCATGAATGCAATGCAAGACATCGGCCTAATGCATAAATATGGTGATCATCTCACAGTATTACCATCTGAGACCACAACACTGCATTTATAAAAGTCTAAAGCTGGTTTGAAGCGGTGCTCCGTACCCGCCGGGTGACGATGGGGTCCACGTCTTTGGGGTCGCGGTAGCTGAGGGTCATGAGGTCGGCGTTGAGCGTTCGGATCCTCTGCAGACGCAGCCGGATGAAGCGAGCGGATGTGAACTCCAGCAGCTCTGGGGTCAGATCATCTGCGCTGGGTCGGCCGTTTATGAGAGACGTGTGGATCTGAGGAGAGACGGCACACTTTCACACCTCCACTCGTCTGAGGAAAGACTCTTTTAACTCGCATAAATCCTCTTTTTATCGTTTATTCAATCAGTTAATTACCTCTAGATGTGATACATTTGTTTCAGACTGTCTCTGCATCAAAATTGGAGTCATTGGATATCATTTATATCACACCAATAAATGATACAAACTGTTCCCAGCATTCCGACATTTTAAAAATGATACAAAAATGGTATTATTTGACCAGCTGTGACACAGAGTTATTATTGTTAACTAAAATTAAAGCCATCAAAAAACATATTTGTTACCTGAAATAAAATAAACGTTAACTGAAATAAAATTTAATATTAAAAAACTTTAGGTTATTTTATTTCAGCTAGTTGCCAAGGAAACATTTCTCATTTTAATTTAGTTTCAGTTCAAGTATTAAAATAACTAAGAAATACTTATAAAAAATAATAAAAATTACAAAAACACAACAAAATTACTAAAACTTTACCTAAAACTAAATTAAAAATGGAAATAAAAACTAATTCAGAATATTAATAAAAACTATAGACACACACAAACACACACACACACACACACACACACACACACACACACATAAAACTTAGACACACACAAAAACACACACACACACACACACACACACACACACACACACATAAAACTAAATAAAAAATGGAAATAAAAAAAACAATTCAGAATATTAATAAAAACTATATAGGTGTGTGTGTGTGTTTTATTCTTTTTTTTTTTAAATAAGTATATAAATTTTTGTTTCAGTTTTATTTATTTTAGTATATCAAGTAAACTAAATAAAAATGAAAAAGGTTGCTTTTGGCAGCTAGCTGAAACGAGTTTAAGATTTTCTTGCATTTTATTTGATTTTATTAACGTTTAGTTTAAGTACTGAATATATATATATATATATATATTTTTTATGGTTTCTGTTTATTATAACCCTGATATTTCAAGTAAATATTTTAGGTCAAAGGGGTTCGACTGACAAAAACATTGGAAATGTTTTTGATGTAAAGGAAAGAAATAAGTTTAAGAGAACAAAAACATAAAAAAATTAATTACAAAACCTTTTGAAAATGATTTTTGCTCTGATTGAGTCAAACTGTTCAGAGATCATTTCATTCTGATGCCTTATCCAGAGTCTAAACTTCACATTAGACAAAATAATCATTGTTTTCAGAGACATCAGTTCCTGAAAACGTAAAACATTGTGTCGTCTGGACAAACTCGAGGGCGTCTGGATAATCCAAACAGAAACAGACACAATAACATTTATACAGAGCAAATCATTGTGTGTTTGCCTTTTCCTTCTCATTGTTATTGTTTTATCTTTTTATGAGTAAAATCCCACCAGATTCACACATTCAAGAGAAAGAAGAGCATCAGAGGAATTCAGCTGCAATCTGACCAAACAAACACAAGTCAAAGGGCCATTTGGGGCCCGTTATCGCCTGCGGCCCCCCAGACAGCATGAGCAGCACACTAAACACACACCCACACAGTCACACACACACACACACACACACACACACACACACTCACACACTCACACACCAACTCACACACACACAAAGGTTTGTTTTTGTGAATTGTGGGGACATTCCATAGGCGTAATGGTTTTTATACTGTGCAAACTGTATGTACTATTGCCCTACACCAACTTAGACAAAATAATCATTGTTTTCAGAGACATCAGTTCCTGAAAACGTAAAACATTGTGTCGTCTGGACAAACTCAAGGGCGTCTGGATAATCCAAACAGAAACAGACACAATAACATTTAGACAGAGCAAATCATTGTGTGTTTGCCTTTTCCTTCTCATTGTTATTATTTTATCTTTTTATGAGTAAAATCCCACCAGATTCACACATTCAAGAGAAAGAAGAGCATCAGAGGAATTCAGCTGCAATCTGACCAAACAAACACAAGTCAAAGGGCCATTTGGGGCCCGTTATCGCCTGCGGCCCCCCAGACAGCATGAGCAGCACACTAAACACACACCGCCTGCTGTTCAAACACCTCTGGAGGACCTTCAACAGCTGTGTTGTTCCACACACACACACACACACACACACACACACAGACACACAGACACACACCCAGACACACACACAGACACACACACAGACACACACACCCAGACACAGACACACACACAGAGACTAGGGCTGTCGAAAATAAATTTAAAATAAGAATTTAAGAATTTAAAATAAAAATCCACATTCAAATGCAAAAACGTTGCATTCAAATTTTAGGTGTGCATCAGGCAGCCTT